TATGTAAAAAACAAAAAAAAAAAAACAACAAAAACTAGAAAACCTTTTATTTGAAACTAGTTGAATGGGAAGATACAATTTCTTCTTTCTGCAGTCAATAAATCATAGACAGGGGGTAAAGAAGAAAGCAGTTGTCACAGATGAGATTAAGAAAAAAATCAGGATTATCAAGGACAGTTTTGAGTCACTTTGAAATGCATTACTGATATATTTCCTCTTAAATAGCCATTAGAAAGCTGATCTGAGTCCATTACTGGTACCTTCACATCTCTGAAAGATGTTGGCGCTATCACAGGTGTCTCCTAGGTCTTCATTGGTACAGTGGTAGATTCAAAGCTGCATGTAGTTCAGAAGTGGAAAGGCTCCTAGAATTATAGAACCATGGAGTGATGACAGACAGAGGCTGAAGCCTAAGAGGGTAATTCCTCAGTTATAGCACAAAAGAATTGTCCGTAATCCACCATACCAAACTCTAGGAAAGCATACGACTATCAGATCAAAATACTGAATGTGGGTGTTCTATAAACTGAGCCCTTCTTCACTTGAATGGATCAGATCCCTAAAATAAATGATTTGGTCTTCTCCAAAACTGATAACTATCAGACCTAGCAATCGGTCTTATTCATATTTACTTTGGTGAAACATAAGACTTCTTAATGTGAGGCCTTTAATTCAATTTGCAGTTTGGACTACTGAGAAGGAAAGATTCATGAGCTTTGCACAGTCTATATAAAGTAAACAGTCAAAGCTCTTTCAAGGGAGCTTTTACAAGTTCATTGAAGCCTCAATTCTATGTGACTTAGATTGTCTTTTATGTCTGATTTTAGTAAGGGGGGAAAAAAAAAACAAATCTTGCCTTACACTATTTTATCATGGTTAATGCAGTATTAGCATATAAACTATGGAAACAGTTTTAACTTTTAGACATTTAACGTTATTCTAGGGTTTTTTGAAGTGTGACCGTGCCAAAAAAAAAAAAAAAAAATCAAGGTGACTGGATAAAACAAAATAGGTATTATAGAAAGCAACTAAACTGGATGAAATGTTTGGAAATGTATTATAACACTTCAAAATAGTTATGTGCAATTTCTATTCACCTGTATAACCAATACATCAATTTTCATGTATTTATAAGTAGATGCAAATGTCTTGATGTGTCTTGGGGTTCACATTTCAGAAAAGAACATGGAGAAACACAGTTGAGCTTTTTCATTCTATCATTGGTTTCATTTCCACATTCCTCAAGTACCTTTCAATGTTACCTGTTGATTTATAAAGTGGTAAATATTCAGTCATAAAAGGTTGAACTTGAAAGGCTGTTGTAGCAGATGCCCTGTCAGAGCCCTCAGCATCCACTCTATAGTGCATCTCAATGTATCTTCCTTTTATCGTCTGTGACTTCCTTTATGCACAGGAGTACACCCCCCTGGGAGTACTCAGAATACTGAGACTGGGAATACTGAAAGGTGGAGTAAATAGCTAGTACTCCTGGGAACAGCCCTCAAACAATGAGGAAAATAAGTTTGTTAATAAACACACAATCTTCCTTATCTGTTAGGTGAGATTATTGCTGAGGAATGTTCTGTGTTGTTTCCTAGGACACAGAATTGCATCTCAGCCCCTCTCTGTCTCTGTCTCTGATTCTCTGTCTCTCTCATCTATGTCCCCCAAACCTTACTGATTCTTCCTGGAATCTATTCTAAATAAGTATTATCACTCATATCCTTATTTCAGTTTGTGTCTGGGGAGGCTAAACCATATCTCTGATGATATTGTGATCATTTTAAAAAGTAAAGAAATACTGAATCTAAAGAAGGGAACTGTGCAGAAGAAATGGCCACAAGGTGAGGAAATGCCAGATTGAACTATAATTCAAACAGAACAGCAGGGAAAGGAAATGAAAGAATAAAAGAATAAAATGCTATGGAGCAAACACAACTGAAAGGCAAAGAACATGATAAAATTAGGTTTTTTTAAAAAGGAAGAGTGTAAAAGTTAAGGGGGAAATGAAGAATAAAATGGTTAATCACTAATTCCTTCCACTGGCCATTTTTTGAGCTTATTATCCTGATCAGGAAACTAACCTCATTAATATGTCTCCTGAGGGACTGGCAAAGAAGGTAACATTAACTCACCCTTTCTGCAAGAGTGTAAAAACAGCAATCAATGTCAGTGCATAACCAGACATTTGTTTAATATGTATATCAAGAAAGAATAGTAATGAGGAGTTAGTGCACAGAGAAACAAAGAAGATTAACAGAGGGGAGATCAAATCAGCATGACTCATGAACCACATAGCCCAAGCAAATTTGAGAACCGGCTAATGAGCCACACTTGCCTTTAACTACTGGAGAAAAAAACTATCTCAGACTTCTCCGTGACATTTGATACTAGTTTCTTTAAGACACTGGACATTTGTTTGCTTTCTTTTTGAGTAGACAGGTAAGAGTAGAATTTCAGACTTAGGGAAAGTAGATATTTACCTTTATAAGAAACTATCGACATGTTCTCTGAAATGGTTTTACACTCCATTGAGCAATGTCTGAGAGTTCTGGTTGTTCCACATCTGTGCCAACATTTGGTCTTGTCTGGTTTTAAGTTTAGCTGTGGTAGATGGTGTAAAGTGATATCCCCAGTACAGATATTAAAGATAACATCTGCTAAAAACATCTTCATGTGCTGTGAACTACTTACATTTCTTCATCTATGAAGTGCTTATTCAAAATGTATCTTCTTCCTTATTTTCCTCTTCCCTTTGGCAAGAAGACAAACTGTAATATTAAAGCAAATCTTTCTCACTATGTACCACAATACATGTTATCTTCAAAGGCAATCACTTTGTGCAATTAGATTCTCATTTAAGTTAATCTGAAACAACTTTCAATGCAAAGTAGATTTGTTGCAGATTCACAGTGTTTCAAAAGTTTTTAAAGATGGTGTGATATATGTGTTGGTATTAGCAGAGAAATAAATCTTTGCATAATTCTAGATTCCCAGGGGCCTCATATAAATAGTAGGTTTAATTTCTCAAATTTGACAAGATAAACACATCTTAATTGTTACTACTTATCTATTTCTCAAATTTAACAGAGAGCTCCATTATCCACACTCAAGTGCCTAAGGGCCTTAAACATGTGTTGTTCCTTATTTTCTTTAGTAAAGAACAAACAAGCTACCTCCTTATCATATATTAGCATGAAAATAAAAACTGTAGCCATTTTATGTAGATTATATGATCCCTAAACATCAGGTATTGTGGAAATACTAGGATAATAACTATTACATAAATTAAAATAGAAAGTATAATATCAACTTTATATGTATGTAGTATAGTTTCCTAATTATTTTCCAAAAATATACCAGAATATAAAGATCTCATCAACTAATCCCATTCTAACCAACATTGAATTGATGAATGATCAAAGCTAAAATCATAAGATTTTAGAGATTGTACCCAAAGGATTCTTTATACCATGTTGCTCCAATATTTGACATATGTATTCCAAAGGATTTGCTAGACACATGAATTGATATGTTTAACTATATTTTTAAAAGATTAATAACTAAAAATTATCTTGATATTGAAGTAATAATTTCACGACAATAAAAATGATTATAGAATTTAAGTTTCGATTCAATGAATTACTTTTGAACCACAATCTTTAGGCCTACAGAATATTATATAACTCAATAATAAAAAATGCATATTTTACAAACTTAAGCAGTAAAATGTCATGATACCAATGTATGTTTTGAATGCACACTGTAACTTATTTACTGAAAATAAGTTATTATCAAGTTCTTAAAAGCCCCTAAAGCTTGTGGCTACTCCTTAAGAAGTTCATGATTAAAGCTATAATATTCTTTTTTTAAGATTTATTTTTATTTATTTATGCATACTAAAAAGGGGGTATAGTCCAGAAGGTGCAGAGGGTGAGAGGATTCACCAGAGGCAGAGAGGGGAGCAGAACAGGCAGATCTACTGAAATACACTGTTGAGGGGAGCAGTGGCAGAGGTCTGCTGTACCATGTGGGTAGCTCCCTGGCCTGGGATATAACTCATGCTAAAATGGCTGCTCATAGCTTGATAGTGCTGAGATTTAACCCCTTGTGCCACTAGGGAGACCCAAGACTATAATATTATCTCTTTGTAAATCATTATGAATTTTATATTTCAAAAAATTTGCAATACAGATAGCAAAATTATATGTCTTCTCTTCCTCTAACACCAAAAAACTGCCCTCATAGCACATATTCTGTGATATCATAGTCTAATACATCACAGAGTTAAAATTATTAAAATACAAATAATTTATTCAGAAGCAGAATATGATCAAAGCAACTTTATTAAGCAGAGTCATGAAGGATTGAATCTTCTCTAACTGGTCCAAAAATTTCAAGGAAAGTTTTAACCACAGAACAGATATGGCAAAAATACTTCCTCTTGAATAATCACACAAACTGGTTAAAAATAGCTGATTGGAGTACCATATTGAGATATATGGATTGAGAGTTCTGTCTGGACTAGAAGGAAAGATGTTTTATTGGGATTGGCTGCTGTGAATATGAGGTTAAGAGTACCACTTGTGATGGTCCTGCTTTATCATTTTTATTGATACTCTCTTATTCAATATATTGAAAAGGATGTGAATTTTACTTACTCATATTTTATATCCCTGATTTTATATATAATGTACATGTATTAACATTTTGTTCATTTGTTCCTAGTTTACTATATAATTTGGGTAGTATTTCTTTGTAACCCTTACTTAAAAATATTTGACAAACTGGTTGTAAGAGTAGAAGGTTTTTTTAAGAGTAGAAGTTTGCTAGACTTTTTTGTAATGCTTCTAAGATATGGAGTATGTAAATTGCAATATGACTATAGAACTACATTTATTAAAAATACTGTTGTTTGGTATAAAATGATACTTTTCTCTAGAGATAAAGAACAGATGATTCAATCACTGCTATTTTCTCCTGACTTCAGGACAATTTTCTTGGACCCTAGGCATCTTTTATAGTTATGACCTCAGACTACATTAAGAAACAATGACTGCAGGATTTCACTATAGACAGGTAGGACTGATCTACAAGTGATAGATTGCTATCCCTTAATGTGTTTTATAAAGTACAATGCTATTTTGCTAAATTATATGTTTATTTGGGTATGTGAAGAATGCTGACAAAGACAGTCAGTGACCAATGCTCTCTCATACTACAGAATTTGCAAAGTGTGTTTTCTCATACACCAAATTTTTTTTGAAGATCATATAATAGTGAAGAAAATGATTGCTTTGTAAGAAATAAGCTGTCATGTGGAGAGACCACACTCATCATTTAACTTGTGATGGTTGCATTGAAGGAATTTCCAGTGCCCTTTTGAATAACCTAAGAGGTTTGATAACGTAGTGTGTTTCCTAGAAATTTTATTTCTAGTAGCAGAATGAAAGAGTTATAGGATGATTCACAGCATCATACCTGACAGATTAGGGATTAGAGATCTCAATACCACCTAATCCAACTGCAGTCTCTTTTGCATGAATCATGAGAGTTTTATATAGATATATAGATATATGGGTATATAGAACATCATCCACTTCCCAAACAGAAGTAAACATGAGTCTATAGGGGCATTCCTCTCTCTAACCAGTGGCTATAGTCACATATGTATAAAATTCTCATCTAAAACTAGTAACCAGACAAAACATGTCCAACAATAGTTTATGACTCAAGAGTGCCTCAACTATTTATTTTTGGAGTTTGACAGTAATGGTTTAAAGGGAGGGCCTGTCAATGCTTAGTGCATACATAATCAAAACAGTAGAGGGGAAAAGGAAATTTAATTTTTTGATTCTGAACACGTTTTGTTTCAGTGAGGAAAAATTACAACTATTGTTCAGTTATTTAGTGTGTTATTGCAACATTATGTAACACAGAACATTTATTGTTATAGAAAGTGCTTTTCATTTTAAAGGCCCAAGTCATAAAAAGTTGTGCACCGGTTATTACCATTTACCTTTTTCTTAGGTACATTACTTTTCATATGCTTTCATTAGTGTTATGCTCCCTAGTGTGCAAGTAACTTAAAATACATTTGCCAAAACTCAACTGGGGAGGAAAAAAGGAGTTATTCTTGCTTCAATTCTTTAAGTTGAAACAAAGCATTCTGTAAGAGACTGTAGTTGTAAAAGAGCCAGACGTGTAGCCTATTAAACGTGGCTAGCTAGCATAGTACTGCTCTTCCTGGTCTGCAAGACTTAATAGGCCTTAGGAAATTAATAGACACTATTAGAATTGTATGTGGTCTTAATTCCGCGTAGCACCTTAACAATGACTGTTTGAAAATGCTTGGTTAATCTTTTCTCACAGAGCTTGATATTTGCTGTCAGCACAAGGTAGATTTTTGTTGTTATTTTTGGGAAAGGGAAAAATATTTGTGATAGTTATCTTGATGATTTGCCTAAAACTTGAAGACTGAGTAAGTCCATTTTTATTTTTCTGTTTACTAAAGTGTCATTTCAGATGATATGATGTCTGTTTCTTGTTACATTTTGGGCAATAAATCAATACCACTCATAAGAAACAATATGCTTTCAAAATGTTGATATTTTCCAAATATTCTTTCAAATGTTTGAAATATTTTGCAAAATATTAGATAGTTTGGGGTGAAGTAATACAACTTGGATTGCATTATCTCTATGTGGTAATACTGGAAAAATTGCAATATAAAAAGACTAAGATGGTAGAGAATCTGGATAATAGTGTCCTGGTGACCCCATGATTTCCTTGGATTTTCCTCTAGAGTTGAAGAAAAAAAACATGCAAAAGAACACTCAAATTGTGGCTTGTCAAGTGGAGCCATCAATTATTGAGTATCAATAATTGTTCTCTCCTTTTGCCAATAATTATCATATTGACAGTGGAATTCACTTAGAAACAAAATGAAATTACCCACCAAAACTGAATTAACATCAGTAGAAAATAGTAAGGAAAAGAAGACCCAGATATCCCAACAAGATAGAGAAATAGATTGAGGTACAGCCTCGTCCCTCTCCCAAAGAAACCTTAGTGATGTCTTAGGAAGGATATTGACAAATCTGTGATATTAATATACAAGCTCTGAGAAGCTTCTGAAGGCAAAGAATAGATTGGGTCACTGTGTCTGGGGACTAATGAGAGGTAAGACTTGGGATGTAAAGAATTTTATCTGTATTCCTCACACCTGCTGATAAGTAGTTAGCTTTGGAGTGTGCAAGTTTAACATCCCCCCTCAAAAAAAAAAATCCACTCACTTTTGCTTTCCATTTGACTGATTTCAGAGACCAGAGAGACTCTTAGATGGGAAGCAAGTAGAAGTCTTTTTCAGAGTTAAATGGATTATTGGAGTTTATGTCATCCTATCTCTGAAACCTATTCCAGTGATAGGCATTCTCAAAATGAGAAATTACTAGAAATAATTTGTTTTTATTCTAAGTACTTCTATTTAATCATTGAACTAGTTAGTCCCCAACTCAATTACTTTGTTCTCAAGGAGTGTATAGTTCTGCAGGATTCACATCCAATGGCTCTAGTACAAGAGTTACAAGGCTGGCAGTAGGTACATCTGTAAATAAAATATTCCATCACTTAGAACTGTATCATGTAATTCATTCCCAGTAAATCTCTGTGTCCTCTGGACAAAATTTACTTCTCAGCTAGGTGTGCCCTTATATACTACCCTCTACCACAGGAAAGTGAGAGCAAATCTTAGTCTACCTTGATATTTCCAGGGTAATAAATGTCAGATGCAAAGACATCCTTAGCTGTATGGTCTCAGAAGAGGCAAACTGGCTCCAGCCAGCACTGTAGGAACCTTACCTTCAGTATAGAGGTAAGGTTCCACCTCATTGGATATCTCTAGTTGTCTCTTCTTATATTCACTACTACCCTTCACTATTCTCCACTTTGTTCTGTGCCTCCAGCAGACATTTTTTTTCTTTGCTCCTGGACAATATAAAGGAGGAGCCTGATGTCAAAGTATCTATAATGCCCACCCCATTCCCCATCCCAGGCTGCATACATGAACTAAGCATCTCAGATTTCATCCTGTATTCACATGGCCACACAATTCTCTCTTGCAGGTCCCTGTTATCTTGCTCCCTCATTGTTTTGTGAATTTAAAATGGTAAAAAGTGCCCCTACTCCTAATTTACTGCCCTGGTGACTTCCCTGCATTCCACCCACATTTTAATAAAGTGTCTCATTATTAATCACTCTTCAAATCTACACTTATTTTCCCCTTATTTTCTAACAGTCCTAGAATGACACATTACAAATAGCTCTTCCTCTTCTCATTATTGGCCCCTGTCTCCTGGAAATATTCTTTCTGGCTTATTTCGCTGAGCATGATCCCTTCCAGCTCCATCCATGTTGCTGCAAATTGCATGTGTTTATCTTTTTTGAATGCTGAGTAATATTCCGTGGTGTATATGTACCACATCTTCTTGATCCAGTCATCTATTTTTGGGCATTTGGGTTGTTTCCAAAGCTTAGCTATTGTAAATAGTGCTGCTATAAACATAGCTATAAACATTGATGTTTCTGTGTCCTTTGGGTAAATACCTAGGAGTAGAATTGCTGGATCATATGGGAGCTCTATCTACATCAAATTAAAGAGCTTCTGCACAGCAAAAGAGACAATAACCAAAACAAAGAGAAACCCCACCAACCAGGAGAAAATTTTTGCACTCAACGCTAATGATGAAGGACTGATCACAAAAATCTACAAAGAGCTGATGAGACTCAACAAAAACAAAGAAAAGAACAAATACATTTTATATGGTTATTATCAGCATAAACCCACTCATTTTTCCACATGGTAGCCAATATATTTTTGAAAACATTTATATAAGTTTGAAATATGCACCCTGAAATTTGACCTTTATTTTTTCCTGCTGAACCTATAAAAAAAAGAAAAACCTTTCTTATGATGCTCTTTCTGATATTTAAATACTGCTACCTTTTCATTCTAAAATACTATTATCCCAGATGAAAATGAACCCATTTTAGTTATTATTCTTAAATGAAATGGTTTCTAGATATCTCTTCATTCTGGGCACAACTTTCTAAATATACACATGTGCAAATACTAATTTTAAGATATGGTGGTCCCCACCACTCCAAAATCATGATTCTAGATTCCACTAGGCAGACAAGTGCATAGCTTAAAAGAATAAGCCCTTTTTTCCGAAGGTTATATATCTAGTAGTAGAGCCTGAGTTCTTGCATACACTTCATTCTTTTGTTCCTTTTTTTAAAAAGATTTATTTATTTATGCAAGAACCGGGGTACAGGCCAGATGCGCTGGAGGGTCAGAGGATTCACCAGAGATAGGGCAGGGAACAGAATAGACAGACTGATGAAATACACTGCTGAGGGGAGCAGCGGGTGAGTCAGAGTGGCACTGCTGTGCCACGTGGGATTCTCTCAAGCCAGGATCGAACCCACACTGCAGAAACTGCGGACAGCCTCACAGTGCAGTGCTCAACAGCCTGTGCCACCAGGGAGGCCCCCCTTTGTTTTTCCTATTCCTTTGTTAGTTCATTCCTTCCTTATTTTCTCCCATTCTATTTTGGCAGTCATATCATACATTAGTTAGTACTAATGTTGAGTTTTCAGTAGCCTAAAATCTGGAAACTATATTGCATTAAAAGAATTCTTTAATTTTTATTTAATTGTTTGTATTATTTAATCCAGCACCGAAAATTTATGATCGCATAGTCTCAGCACATCAGTGTAATTTGTAGATATTGTTTTGAATTCTGATTCTTTCATTCACTATTCATTGTTCCATTTATAAAACCGTTGCTTATTTCCAAACAGAAAATAATCATCTTCTGCATTTCCATGACTTTCAAATTCCTCTCTTAGAGAACTGGTCACTTTTTATCACGTTACAGTTATCTAGGAATAGAATATATTGTTCATAACTGATAAGTTCCTTGATATCAGAATCCATTCTGACTTATATTCATTCTATGGTCTATAACAGTGCTCAGAAAACAAAAATGATGTATATTTTGAAGGGTAAATGAGTG